CTGATTTTATTGGCTTATTTGTTTTCTTGTTTTCTTTTTTACTTTCTGTCAAGTAGGTATATCGACAACATATTGTCAATTAACAATAGTTATTTCCATTGTGTCGACACGATATATCTCGATGAGCTTGAAATAACAGATACCGCACATAGTCTTACACATCTGTTTCTTACTTGCATATTTTGCTGGAAAAGACGTTAACGATAATGTAACAGCAAAGCTTTATGATAAACGTGGTAACTAACTTTTTAATCGTCAACTTCTCTTATTTCTGCGGCAATATACTAATACTTTTACCACATGTGTCTCACAAAAATCTGCTGTGTAAATCCAAATTGTAATGCTTTCAGATTTTGTGTCTCAGGGTGTTCAGTAGACTACATATAGTTGTTCCTGGTAGCATCGTGTCCGTCCTGACAACTCTAGATATGGACCTTCATATTGTACTGTATATGTTTTAGGTCACATAGTATTTAAGGAATATTTTTAAGTTTTGTGTGAGTTATTGGTGTGTGAATCACATAGACGTCAATGTAGGCATATTTTCATGAAGCGTGTGTGAATCACACAGACTTGGCACCAATAATTCTAACTAAACTTAAAAACATTCCTTATATTTACATTTTACATGTTTGGAAGCACTATAAATATACTCAATATTTGAATTTCTTCATGCCCTATATCGTAATAATACTTTAACTAACGTTGCTGTAGCCCTATTGTGACTTCACGTTAACGCACGTTTCTCCATGGACATTTCTACGCGTGAGTATAAACGAGAATGGTTTTCAAATCGATTTCACAGTAGGGTTAGTAGAAAAACACAGCGAATGTGAATATTCTTATATATAAATTCCATGCGTAATTCTAAATCAGGCGTCATTTTAGTCTCCAGGCGTAATTTTTTTTACGGGCGTCATTTATTTTTCCAGGCTTATATAGCTCATTTGTCGCCTCAAACTCCTGCCCAATTCCTCTTGGTTTCCTCCCGCAACCTGTGTATCACCATTTAAGGAATGAATTTAATAGCTACCCATTTTATACGGCATAAACTGGGTTGGGGCAGTTTACGCTTTATAAATTGCGAAGCGGTTCATAAAAAAGCGTAAACTAGCAGTTCCAACCCAGTTTATATCGTATAAAATGGGTAGCTATTAAATTGATTGCTTATAATTTAATTTTCATTCATTTGATGTAAGAAAAAAAGATGATTGTTCTAACAAAATGACTTCAATTTGTACAAAATTTGAATGTAACGTCAGACAGATTGATACGTTTTTGACGAAAGTCTTTGTGACGTAGGCAACCCATTTTATACGATATAAAGTAATTTTTTTATCCAATCAAATACAGCATTACAACCAGAATTGAATTATAAATGTAGAGAGACATATCTAAAGGCAGAGGATGTCTTCCAACCAACGGTTATAGTATCTCCTCTTGTGTGCCTCACTGAATGTTCACAGTTTTTCAAATGAACCTCCAATTAAGACAACATTTTGTCAGTTCTCTGTGGTTGTAAATCAAGCTGTAATCTGTCATGATGCTGCTTTCTCCTCCAAGAATTCCGCAGCATTAAAAATTCTTCTTTTCGTATTCAAATTCCAAATGGTTCCATTTACCATTCTTTTTAATTAACTATATATCGCAATAGCATCACGATTTCTGTTCATTCATGGTGTTTAAGTTAGAATATATCATATGAAAGGAAAATAAAGGCATCTCTTACTAATAAGAGAATAAAGAGAACAAGAATGGAAATGGCCAGCTTTCCTACAAGGTCAATGACAGGGCGTTCCCAATAGAGAACAGCATCTGACGGCCATCTTGAAAATTATAGACTTTAGGATCTGACGGAAGTTTTCATAGTAATTGCTATTATTTACACACTGAATTGTGGACGGATTTTCGCCTTATTTGCCGATCATGACAAAGAGCACACGGCGGTTGTGACCGGTCAGCAGGGAATGCTCACTCCTCCTTGGCACCTGATCCATGATGTCTGATGTTTGCTCTGCTCCTGGTTTTTATTGCTTGCATGGACCTCTGTGTCTGAATACTGTTTGTTATCTCAATATAGCTCAGGTTCCCATGTAATACTTTGTATCCCTATGTGACCCCACAAAGTTAATTGGTAAAGTGTGGAATTTGTTTTTAAAAAGAACCCCCGAAAAAAATTCATTAAAATATATATGATTGTTTAAATTAAAAACAAAATATTTGAATAACAGAACTTTCTTATGTTGCCAAATATCTTACATTTTTGTTGTAAATTACTCGTTAAGTAATTGTTACATTTGATGTATACCACCCGGAAAAATATAATGAATGCAATTTATACTTCTCTTATTTGAAAAGAATCAGTAAACACATGTTATAAACTAGGACTTGATTTTAACTGAATCTGTATTTCTGTAATTTTCGAAGAAAAATCAGTAAATGTTGCATTTGTGAAATTCTCTTTTTTTATTATACTATAGAACAACGACAGAGATAGCGTATGTACGGATACAAACTCTACATCTCTAACAGTACAGATTTAAGTCTCCTACAAGCGGCTTATTTGTGTTACAATCATACAGGGCCAGATTTACCAGATCTTAATGTTACTCACATATGTGTTTCTTTCGGTCGGTATGTCATTTTCTACAATGAAAGAGTTTATGGTGTATGGTATCCTGGCAATCAACAATATACATATACCCAACTGTGTCAAGTAATAGTTCAAGGTCTGTGTTAATATTATTGTTCTTTTTGTCAAGATAATTTAAACTGTTTGCACTTGAAATATACGTATGCTTATTTTAAAAAGTTAAGCTAAAAATAATTTTAATAAAGGGTTAATCTAAGATACGAGACATTTAAAAAAGCAAATACATATGTTGAAAAGGTTGTCATAGAGACGATGCCTATGGAATTCTCTGTAATAAAAGATGTCCATTAAATTGTCAAGAGAGAAGGTGTTACATAACTAATGGAACTTGTGTTGGATGTAAAGACGGTTGGATTGGGAAAAGTGTCTTGATGGTAAGATTTAGATAGTAATTCCATTTAAGGTGCATTATCATAGTCTTTATTCTTCATTCCAAGGATAACGACCATTTTAAAACTCATAAAAATAATCCTCTTTATTACTTAAGATGACGTTTATTATTTACGTCAGAAATTCACCAAAGGATCACATGTTAAACGAGAGAGAGAGAGAGAGAGCTGCTGAGAGTTCAACACAAATAAAGAACGCTTTATCTATCTTTTAATTATAATATTATTTAATCAAAGTATCAATGTATCAATGCACATAATATTTTTCTTCAAATGATTACGATTAACGGTTTTAACAAGGAAACAAATAAATTGCGTGCAAAATAAATTAGGAAAAATCTTTACAGTTTAGATCCAATCTATTTTTTAAAGCCGTTTTATTATAAGAAAAATATCCTCTTCTCGATTCATGATTAGCTTGCCCAGTTGGAAAATACGGAGCAGAGTGCAAGAAAACATGTACAGACCACTGTGGAAATAATTTTTCATGTAATCACGTGACTGGTCAGTGTGAGGGGTGTCTATATGGATGGATGGGATACGATTGCAGTGAAAGTAAGATATGTAAATAGTATTTTTGAGTAAAAGAATTAGAGAATTTCTTTTGATACAAAAATATGAAGTATTTGATATAAGTAATGAAATACGTATATGGAGATAACGAAGATATAAATACTAGACCTGTGTAACAAAGAAGATGGGCGCATTTGGCGTGTAATCTGCAGGAATCATTTGTACAAATCATTTATGGTTTAAATGTCCATGATTTGGTTGGCTAACCATAGCAAGTCAGATTAAACAAACAAACATAGTATTTTTTTTATTTAGTTTGAAATATATTGTCAGATTGTTACTTTTATGACCGTTTTTTTAAGAAGGTTCAATAAGATAGTAATGCTTTACAAAAAAATAAACATCCCCAAACAGAAAAAACAGCCTATCAGATCATGCTAACAACTCATGTGTAAATCATGGTTTTGATATGATTTCGGTATAGGAAAATTTCACATGCAAATGAGCTAATGGATCATGGTTCTGAGATGGTCTGTTAAACTAAACAACTAGCAAGAAAACCATGATCCTTGTATGATCTGTTGTAGAGCTAACAACTCGTATTAAAACCATGATCCTGGAATGATCTGTTGTAGCTAACAACTCGTATTAAAACCATGGTCCTGGTATGATCTGTTGTAGCTCACAACTCGTATTAAAACCATGATCCTGGTATGATCTGTTGTAGCTAACAACTCGTATCAAAATCATGATCCTGGTATGATCTGTTAAATTGAACAACTCATAAACAAAATACATGTGTGCTAATTTAAATATGAATTATTGTAATAAATTTGTTTCAAACAACTTCAAAAAAAATTATTGTCTTTGTAACTATACCTATACATGCTGTGTGCATTTTAATTATTAAAACTTAATTTTCCTGTTCTCTTTTAAATAAGAATTTTATTGATGTATGTATGTTGTTTGATTCTCCAAGCTAGAGTGAATTTAAAGCTTGCATTTTCACCTATCATAGATGACAAAGTTAACAAACCATATCAGGATCATACAACCAATTCTGACAAAGTTAACAAATCATATAAAACTCATGATTCTCAACAGAGAAGTTAACAGATCATGTGTAACTCGTATGGAGTTTAAAGACTAAGTTAAGAAACCATATCAAAATCACAAACTTTTAGCAGTTAAAGTTAACGTATCATTTCAAACTCATGTTCCTTTGTTTTCTAAGTTAATGGCACATGTCAGAATCGCAAGAAAATCATAGCAGACTCATTCCCCAGAAACAAACCACACCAGGATCATACTTCCTTATTTGTCATCTATGATTTCAGTATGATCCATTTAATGGATCATGTCTAAATCATAGTTCAAAATCATGCATTTGTGAGTTTGATATGGTTTGTATGTGATTTTGGCATGGTTTGTTAAGAAAAGTTTTTGTTTGGGTCTGTAAGATACATGTAAAAGGCATAGAAGATAAGTAATTATGCAGCATTGTACCGTTATCATCTGCATTCGAGGTTTACATCTCTCTGTTGATTCGATACGTAAGAGCATGCTTTTGGATTGAAAATTTTAAAACGAGGTAAATTATTTGCAAGTTTTATAACAAGTTGATGAACAAAACTATCACCAGTCTCGTTTATGTTATTCTTCATTGTTTAGTTTATTTTATCAGACCCAACTATTGGTACATGGGGTACAAGTACATTAATAACACATCTACATATAGACATTATATAAGTTCTACAATAAAATTTTCAGCAAATACAATCTATCATTAAGTCAATATTTAATTGACACTTATTTTCAATACTGATTGTTAGTCCGTTATTAAAAACAGCACGTGGAGGGTTTGACAAGTTGGCAGAGGACGTTCACTCTTCTATTGCACCCGATCCCACCTCTTAATTTTTTGGAAGTCTGTGTTTGCCTTGCTCCTAATATATATTTATTAATTGACTTTTCAGTTTGATTACTGTTCATACTCTCCATTTATTCCACTTTATTCTTACAGCCTTCAATTTAAATTTATGAAGCATAAATGATATCCCGTACGAGGTTTGTTTTCAAGCGATTGGTAAAACGAGTATACATCTGTGCTTGAAATACAACGTTTTAATTGTGACTTGAGGGACAAATTAAAGAAAATATTTAAAGTTTATTTGCATAATAGTATAGAAATTATACATGAAGATTAAACAAAGACGAATATTTACATTCGGTGTATTTTTCCTTATGAAATTCCTTAGAAATCCACAACATTCAAATTTCTATAACACACGCGAAACCTTGTCACCGCGCATTAGAATGCACAGTAGGAACTACATTGTATATGCATTTTTCTATAATCTGGGAACACCAAAATGTACAATGTTTCGACTCAATTTACTTAAAACTATAATCCTGTTAAATTAACGTAAAAATACTACAAATGTGCGTTTAAAATTAATTTGTCACTTTTTTCCCTCGCAATGATTGTTTGCGTTATTAAACTTTGCGACGACATCTGACGTCACAAACGGCTCTTACGTCTTTTAACCGCGTCAGTTTTGAAAGGCGTTAAATTCACACTCAAGATGAATGAAATAATCAATTATGAAAAAGGAAAATTAGAGAATGTAAATATAAGCATTGAATTCATATTTTTGTATGTCTTCTGTCCTATTACACACCTGGCCGTGCCGACACATTTATCAAACCACGCTAACGCGCGGTATTCAATTTGTCGGCACGGCCATGGCCAGGTGTGTTATAGGACCGAAGACAGACAAAAATATGAATTCAATGCTTAAATATAATTAATTCAACTTGAACATATATAAACAATGTCTACTAGTACTGGTAGTTCTTCATTTAGCACAGACTGTTTATTGAATATCCATTTTTCAGCGTGTCCCCCTGGCACGTATGGAGAAGGTTGTGAAAGAAAGTGTAGTGGAAATTGTGCCAACAATGAAACCTGTCACAAAGTTGATGGATTTTGTCCTGGGGGTTGTCATAATGGGTTTCAAGGAAATCGCTGCAGTGAAGAGATTGATATTGGTGTGAATGGTATAGTAAGCCATCGTTAATATTTCAATGTAATTCTGGCAAAAAGAATTTAGGAATTTAGCTACATGTATACGAAAAAGTAGTTGCTTTATATTAAAAATATAAATTTCAATTTATTTCACACATTTTAGCTGTCAAGGCTTTAAAAGAGGATTTATGCAAACATTATACAAAATGCGAAACAATGATTGGTTTCTTTAAGTACAAATAATGTTTTAGTTTTTAACTTCGTTGCTTATTAACACAGTAGATTTCACAAAACCTTGCACTGACCAAGGAGACAACGTTGGCGGATTAACAGCGGGTTTGATTATTTCTCTCCTGATCAATGTTGGGCTTTGCTTTACAGTGCTTTACTTCATCAGGTATGTTTATTTTTACTTTATCTGTAAACCATTGTATTAGCTCTATTATTGTTTGTGTATAAACTAGACTTGTTTCATTTGCTGACATCCCTCATACTATTGACCAAAAAAGCCTCGTGCATTGGTTTTGTAATCTTCCATTATTTGATTTTTTTTCTTGCAAAATTTTAAATAGATTCTTTAAGAGTCATTCTATGTAAGAATCAAAGAATTTAGAAAAAAGTTGGAAATGGTACATCACAGATTTTGCTGATTTTTTGCATGCAATGTAGAAACACCATGTATAGAACATTTTTGGGGTTAATTTTTTATTTTGTGTCCCGGTTGCCATGGTAACCAAAACCACCATTTTGAGGCCAAAAATACAGAGCAACCTACTGAAAGTATACAATCTTCATCATAAAATTCTATTTTCTGCGTTTTATTTAAAGATTTAATTGTTGCCTACTCTGATAGAATATGTGTTGTAGTAACTACCACAACTGATGAAATTATTCAATAATTGGTCATAAAAGAGTTGTCTTTCAGTGAAAAGTGTGAATTTTTCAAATTTTAACAAATTTTAAAAAATGTCAATTTTTGGCATTTTCAAAGCGTAGTAGCAAGAAAACGCGGGCAATCCATAACAAACAACTACCATCACTGGAAAGGTCATTCCTTACCCATGAAAATATAAAATTTCTAGAGTGGTAATATTTCTTAAAATAAAATAAAACGAAAATGAAAATGGTTGCTATGGAGATTTTGAATTAATTTGTAGATTCAACATTCGGCTCCTTTTTGTACATTATAGCTTTAAAAAAAATCAAGAGTAAAACAAATCACACTACTAAACCTCATAATTTCAAAATAAAATGATAAAAATGCAAGTTCATAAATTAAACAAAAATAATGTGTTACTATAGCAACCAAAAAGTCAGGAAAAATCACTGTAGCTATTGGCGTTTTCATTATGCAGAATCTGTGGCCTCAGTGCATTATTTAATTTCTTCAAACAACAGATAACACTTATCATATTTGTTATTTCACTTAATATGTACATTAAAAAAAAAGTAATAAATAAAAATTTAGGCGTCCCAAATCACGTTGCTATGGTAACCAAATAGTTTTTGAACACTTCCTTATAATGGTTGCTATCACAAATATTGTGATACTGACAAGTGTACAACGATATTATAAAAGCTTCATTCGTGATTTTTTTCTCTTTTTCAATAAAATAAATTGAATTTAATTGTATTTTACTAAATATCAAGATAATAATTCATAATTTATTTTAAAAATGGTTGCTATGGCAGCCAATAGTTCAGGAAAATCCTTATCGTTGATATGTTTAATATACAAAATCTACTGCTTTATTGCCCGATTATATTTTTTCCTCAATGAAATAAATTCCACAAAACAATGTAAACCTTAGAATATCATTTCACTAACATGAAAATAGAAATTCATAATTTTATTTTAAAAAAACCAGTTGTTATGGTAACCAAATAATTCAGGAATAATCCAAATAATTATTGATGTACCAGTATACAAAACTCATAAAACTGCCACCAGTGTTTGATTATACTTCTAATTTAAACAGATGAACTCAAACTTAAACTGATCACATATATCTGAATTACTGCAGCAGGATTTGTTTCCATGGAAACAATAAATACCTACATAAAATCATGACCGATCTTTTGGAAGCAACTTGTTTTATTAATTGAAACATATATAGTTTATATACACGTTTTAACCTGTACATGCACTTCTTAGTTTAAGTAGGACAAGCACATAGTCAAGAGTGCCCCCCTCCTCGATTCAAATTGTTTTTTATGTTGTTCAGATGATATTTTGCTGTTCCTTTCCTAAGGAATTATTATACCACCGCTACGAAGGAGAGGGCGGTATACTGATTTACCTTTGTGTGTCAGTCCGTTTGTCTGTCTGTCTGCCTGTGGGTGTTTTTGTAGCAAGTGTTTGGTTTCAGTTTTCTCAGGAACTCGATCAGCTTTTAATTGAAGATGCTTGAAATTTTAGCACAGTGTTTGCTAAGGCATGCCATATGCATGGTGGGTAACACTTGAGGTTAAATCTGATGTCAACTTCCTGTTTATCCGCGTGTCAGACACTGTCTGTTCGTACCATACATAAACAAGCATTCTGAGAGTATTGCATAAGCAATACATGTCCCCTACCGGGTTCCCTTTTTCGAAACTGAGTTTTTCTTCAGGATGTCATTTAATAATATGCAAAAGTTATGTCCAAGGTAAAACTGTTGATTTTGAGGTTGTGGATAAAATAATCCACATTTAGACGAAAATTCAACTCATTTTTCCTACGTCTTTTTCTTGCTTCTTATTTATGTCGACCATCGGAAGTTAGCGCAGCATGATCTCAATTAAACGAATGTGAAAAATTCAAAATACCATTATTCTGTCAAAAACCAATGAAGCGATGCGAAATTCAAAATTGAAACTTGATGTTTAACTCATCAAGATACAACCACATACCAAAATTCAGCTCAATAGATACAAGCGTTTAGAAAAAAAAAGTGCGGAAAACCAAATGGAACAGACTGGCAGACAGACGGGGACAGACAGACGAACGGACAGGTATACAGAGGGACGCACAGACGCAGAGGAAACCTATAGTCCCCTCCGATTTCACCGTACGGGACTAAAACAATTCGTTGAAGTTTTCCCAGCAGAGATAAGTCTTTCATACACATTAGGAATGACACTCAAAATTCAGAATGTATTTTAAAAATTTTGTGATTTTGTTCTTCCTCATAAACACAAAGGGTCAAAATAAGTATTAGGGAATGTGCAATTATGCAGATGGAGAGCATATAATTACAAACCACCACTGCTCTTATTAGGTCCAAAACACTGTCCGTAGGGGCTATGCCCCTGGGAGTGAACTCCCTATAAGCTTTTGAAATTCAATCAACAGAGAACCTCATTTTGACTCAAATTGAGAAAAATATAATTATCTGAAATAGTTTTCTAGAGGGGGGGAGGAGGAGTTAAGTGAGGGGGGGGCAATAAAATGTTACCAGATCCTCCTCCAATATTTTTAAAAAGGGGGGCTTGATTTATTTGCATTAATATTTTTTTTCAAGTTAAATAACTTTTTTTATCTAACACTACTCAGTTTTTTGGAAAGCTTCTAAAAATATTTTGCAGAACATAAAGTCTGTGATAAATGGAATACTGAGATGCCTTCATAAAATATGACAAAATCAAATATAATATTTTTTTTTCTCAGCTGTAATTTGGGCACATAAATCTATGATTTCAACAATGACCACTTTTACAAATCCCCAATTTCTGCATGTACGTGTCTTCATTACATATTGCTTCATTATACACTGTTTCAGTAAAGTGTATATAATTTTATTGCCCAAAAGTAGGAAGTTTATTTTATTAAATCATTTATTGGGGGGGGGGGGGGGTGCATTACATGTATCACATACACCATACAAAACACTGAAAGATTATTTCAGATCTACATGTATGTAAAATTAGGTTATTTAAGTTGATTGTAGATACTTTTTTTTAAAATCAGAAAATGTATTGACTGTTTACTGAGATTATTATCAAAAATTTAAAATTTACCTTCAATAAAAAAAAATAATTTCCCTCCCTCCTGTGTCTGAAACCCATCAGGCGGCAATTCCAAACAAACAATTTTTAAAGGATGGCCTGACAGATGGTTTATATAATTTTCATTCACATTCACTGATTTTAATAAGATTGTTAATATGCCTATACTGTTAATGATATAATTAGAATCATGTCATTATTTATGCTTTGGGTACTTTAAAGTTATTTTAATAATAAATAGTCATGCCCTATCATTAATAAACGTCATACAAAATATGTGCAACTTTCAATGTACGTAGTCAATAATCATTAGTACTTACCTAGTGCTTCTTATTATCATGTATATTTCTTCATCACAACCTTATTATCCCACCCTTAGTGCTGAAGTCCATTTAACTGACAATAGCTACTTTTTTTAAAAAACACTTTTTTCAATGATGCAGCACTTGTCACATAGGCAGGAATTTCATAGGATGCAATCCATTTTTAAGTTTTCATGTATCTATCACATCTATACACAAACATGTATATCTCTCAGACACAGTAAAGCCTGAACAATCAATTAACTATGGGTAATGTTAAATACTTCACAAGTTGGATTAAAACCCCTGAAAATATCCAAAACAAACAGTATTTACTCCTCAAAGTTGCTTTCTGCTGTATACTTTTACTTTCATTTTCATCGATTAAAGCAAAAGATTTTCGAAAAGGGAAATAACTCTTGACAAAAATGTGTGTAAATTTAGAGATTTTTACAAAGAAGTCGGTTCACTTTATGCATACAATGGCCCTGTAGATATACCAATTAATTGATCAACACTTGATTTTCCATTTGAAGCATTAAAATAAAATAGAGACTTGGTGCTTTCATATCCTATTAAAAAAAATTCTCCTCAAAGTCCAGGTCTTGGAGAACTGGCTTTATGAAATTGCAATGTTCTTGAATGTTTAGGTAAACAGGTATAATTGAGTACTTTCAGTGAAGAAAAATAATATGAGCGCACTCTCTGATCTAAAAAATAAAACATGTCCATGAATCCTCAGAAACAGTTCTATCATTTACTAGTTGCATATTTTAGATCAGAGGTTGCGCTCTATATCAAATATCAAAAAATAACTTTAAAAATTGGCCGTTTTTGTAGACTTTTTCGGAATATGAGGAAATTGACGCATTTCGTGACGTCATAATGCATTGACTAGCCAAAAAATTACGTCATTTTTTATAGGATCGCAGTCACCAAAGATCGAAGTGATATTTTAATGCATTGTTAACTAAAACTATGCAGTTTCAGTTTTTCAGAAATTAACAGGGCCAAATAAGGCGAAAGTGAACCTTGTTCTTTACAATCAATTTATTTTCTTAAAGTAAATATTACCTCTCCAGTTTTTTCATATGTTTTTCACAATTGT